ACATCGCCAAACACACTATCTAGCATCCATTGAAATGTGTACGAACATGGATATTTTGTAGCTCGAAGTCCCAATGCGTTCAACCTCTGTATAGAGAATGATTGAAGCATCTCTCTTGGCACCGCCATCTCATCAACATTCACACTGAGAGTTTGAACTTTGCTTAGCTCGGCATTAGCTTCGATGCTTTGCTTGCTCATATCATATAGCTACGATACAATTTCGTAGTTGAAAAATAAATTTCAAGAAAAAACGCAGGGAATCTCCGAAAATTGGAATCATGCTACTTCAAAAAAAAAAAAGAAAAAAAAAACCAATAAAAAATTTGCTAGTTAAAAGTAAAAAGCATCCATACACATTAATAAAGAGCTTATTGCATTTACTACCTCTCTGAAATTCACAATTGCGCAATTTTCCCCTGTCATAAAAAAATTAGCAAATAACCCCTCTGTTCATTAGTCAAAGGTGAAAACCCTCTTGGAGCTGATCGTGTGTCTCACTCGCTTCATCTGCGATTTTTTCTTCTTTTTTACCCATGAAATGACAAAAACATCCTTGGGGTTTTTCAATATAAGAAAAGCAGAGTCCTTAAATTGACAATTTTTAAAGTTAAAGGACTAAATTGAAATTGTGAAAACATTGCAGAAATTTGAGAGTGATATGCCTAATTGGGCCAACCCAACGTGCCTACAAATTATTTAAGTACTGAGCCACAAGCCCAATATTGAAAAATGTAACCATTGGGCCGGGATGTTCCAGAAAAAGCTGGAAACAAGCAAACAAATTTCCTTAATATCACCGTAAGTAGAAAAAAACGTGTTCTCATAAACCTAAACAACGCCGAACAAAAAAAAAAAAAAAAAAAAAAACAACCAGGATTGTGTCCTTATTTGTTATGATTGTCCATAATAAAGGATTTTAGCTGGTGTAAACTTGGACGGATCAAATCGGAAATAACACTTTCCGGAAACTCCAATTTTTTACTAAAGTAAAAGAATGATTCTGTTTATGTGAAAAAAATTGAACAGTACTTCGAATTGAAATGAAAAAACTTGTACCAAAAAAATAAAAAAAAATTATGATCGGAATCAATAGGGTTCGGACTTTCCCAAATTTAGTCACCAGTCAAATAAATATATAATAACATTGATACAATAAGTGTAATTTTAGAGGGGGACAAAATAAAAATTTTGAAAATATTTTTAGTAATTAAATCAGATAAAAAATTAGAATCTAATGTGTATTCTATTTCTATTAAAAAAAAAAAGAAAAATCGTAAATCAAAATTCAAAATTTGGAATGGAAAATATTATAGAGGTATTTCAGAAATTTAGTCCCAATTTCGGTACCTGTTGTGAAATAATTCCCATTAGCTCATTTATTAAATATTTTATTAGAAACACTAATGGTGTGAATATTATTAATTAATCAATATTAACAAGTTACTAATAGATCTAATATATATTTATATATGTACATACGGATGGGATATATGTATATATGATATACACTATATAATATAATATAATATTATACACAATATAATATAATATAAATGTGTGAGTGGGAAAGATAGAGAGAGTATGTGAGGAGAGAGAGAGAGAGAGTAGAGAGAGAGAAAGATGCTAGCAAAATTGTATTCATCTCTTATTCATTTCAATACAAAATACAAGTATTTATAGGCACTTTCATAGCCTTGTCACAAGGACACATGTCACACTATACTAATTCTCTTCATTATGGAGCTACACATGTTCTAACACTTGTCAAAAGACTAAAGACCTATTAGCTAAAGTCCACAATATTATAATACTCCCCCTTGGACGTAGCACCATTGTATCGACTGAATTGATGCCTCATTAAAAACCTTAAGCCGGAAAACCCAGTGGGAAAAACCGATCAGAAGGAAAAAAAGAGTGCATGACTCAAATCCAAGTCGTGTGCATAAGCTGCCTCGTTAAAAACCTTAGCTGGAAAACCCAATGGGATGAAAACCATTCGTAAGGGAAAAAAGAGTGCAGTGCACTATTGCTCCCCCTTGCTCCCCCTGAAATGAGCAATATAAGCCCCCCAAAATGGGTTGTTAATCAATTTGTAGATTGTCTCATTAAAAACCTTGAGCTGGAAAATCCTATGGGAAAAACCAGTCAAAAGGGAAAAAGAGTACAACACATCATAGCATTATGTGCTCCCCCTGAAACCAATAATATATGCCTCCAAACTAGGCTATTTAATAATCATAAGTTGCCTCGTTAAAAACCTTATGTCGGAAAAACCACATGGGAAAAAGACCGAACAAAAGGGAAAAAAGAATGCAACATATCATTGCTCTGTCTTTGCTTTATGCATTTTAAATCCACAAGAGTATAACAAAATTCAGTTAACCATAAAGATGGCATTAGAATGTCAGTTAGACATATGTCCATTCCCTCATGGACAACCCTAGGAAACGAAAAATAATTGCATTCATTGCGTGTGAATACATTTAATCATAATTAATCCCATATCATCAGGAGAATCCTTGAGTAATAAGGCCACAGTATATCGTAATTTTATTGTCATTATTCCTCTAACGAACAAAACCCCATTTATATCCCGGGAATTTTACATTGTCCGGAGTTTGTACAACTAACCCATATTTATTTCGCTTCTCAAGGTAAATCAATTCCAATTTAATCGCTTTCTCGCTTTGAGGCCAAACTCGGCCCTACCGACATTCTATTTTTTGAACGTGGTTCACTGGCATAATTATCCCGAAAAATTATAATTGTCTTTCTTAAGAGATTAAACTTTGCAGAATTATATGTAGCATGTTTATTATGATGACGCGTTTATTCAGTGGATTCAATTAATAAATATGAGTGTGAGCGTGTGCCACAAGGCATTGATATTTATCCAAAGTATTGCATAAATCTCATCAAAATTATTTTGATCGAGTTTCTCCGGCACTATCCATTCTCATATGCACGGGGTATAGTAACTTGTGCAGAAAAACGTGCAAAATCATATTGCATGTATATAATAAACACACGCGAGACCATTTATAAGATGCTTCTCACAAAATCATAAATATTTAAAATATTGGTGCACTTGAAAGGTTGTATTGGTCCATAAATATTATCTACCCTTTTGCACTAAAGGTTATATAACGAGATCTATGTTTAATATAAATCACATAAATACTCTTCGGACATTGGGATCCCTTCACCGTTTAACGAATGTCCTTTAGTATCTTATGTATTCCTACACATCATTATATTTTATGGGCGTCCCCATACTATCATGCCAAAACCTGAATATTTCAGGATTAACCAGTTTATATGACATGTTGGTGTAGTAATTGAAAACTCGAATTAGGACACAATACAATACACAAAAGCTAATGCTTTTAATATCATAAGCAGAAGAATTGTTTATTTCCAGAGCCATAATCTCTACGGAAAGTAATTTAGTTTTACTTCGTGCTTTGCGCAATATCACACTCAATAAAATTTAGAATATATTAAATTGTCAATTAGACTAATACGTCGTCTGGGAGATATTTAAACTCAACCTCGGGAATATATATATTTCAGGGGAGATATGCAAACTCTACTTCAGGAATATTTCATCTGAAGGAGAACTTCTAAAATTCGACCTCAAGAATATGTCATTCGAGGTAAATATGTAGCTTATCTTAATTTCGGGAATCAATCCAAGAAAGATATGCATGTAGCTCAATTTCGAAGTTCAAAATATAATATATAGACAATAGTCTATTATATTTGTGTTTCACATGTACATCCATATTAAATAATATGTCAATAAAATGCTAACTCAATCTTGGGAATTTAACGTCCAAGAGAGATATATAATCTCAACCTCGAGAATTTCTCGTTCGAGGGAGTTTTGCAAACTTGATCCCGGGAATTTAACATCCGAGAGAGATATGTACATGTTACACAATTAGTCGACATATCGAATTAACTTTGAAAATCTACCAATATTATCAGGGGTTATAAGCTCGACATTGGGAATATTTCTTCCAAGGGAGTATTACTAACTTAAACTCGGGAATAAATCATCCGAGCTAGAGAGTCGTAAATTTTTATTTGGGGAATATATAATTGTTAGAATCCGAGAGGATTCTATTTCGGTTTTTCAACACGTGTGCGAAAAACGTGTATAAAAACTAGGGAAGTTTCCTTAGTTCTTTAAACTCTTATTTTGTCATTAATTTATTTAATTGCCTAAGTGTTTTATTAACAAGGAATTTATTTGTCTAAGACTTTCCTTGTTTACATAACTCTTTTTTCCTTACGTGAAGATTATATCTAACCTAATGGGCTCTAATTTTGTAGGGCTCTACTAATTCACCTAAGGAAGTATAAGAAGGGCAGCATCAACGTTTTTATATGTTGTCCCTTTTATTTTGAGAGAAAACTATTTTCTGCTCTTACGTTGCTGCTCCAGAATTCCTGATCTTAAATCGAGAAGAAAATACAGAAAAAGGAGTTTGCTTCTTTCACCGAAAAGAAGATCGGTTCTTCGGGAGGAGAACTCAGAAGATCTCGGGAGGAGGTCGATCCGCCGACTGAGGGACTCAGCGTTGAAGGAATTTCAACCGTGCGGAAAGGGACGTGCTGCAAAGTGAAGATTCACAATTCAGCGTAGGATACAAGAACGGCGTCGACAAAGAGGGAGTCTTTGCATTTTCGATTAAGTCCTATTACTGTATTCGTAAAACTAAAAATTAGTGAATTTCATTTGCAGGTCCCCGTGGATGTAGGGTACAATTGTATCCGAACCACTTTAAAATTTGTGTCTTTTTATTACTGTTCCATTAACTGTTGCAACTCTTCGTAAACAGTAGAACAGTAGCTAAAACTGAATCTGGGATTTATCGGACACAAATTTATAATTAATTTGCACGAAATAATTGTAACAATTGGCATCAAGAGCCTGTCACTAAATATATCTAGTGAGATTTTGGGAACTGATTACTCTTATTTTGTGCAGATATGAATACTCAACGAGAAGGATCTTCAACTACTCGTCCACCTCTTCTAATCGGCTCCAACTACTCATACTGGAAATCAAAAATGAAGATGTTTATCAAATCCATAGATGAGAGAGCATGGCGCGCCATCATAACTGGTTGGACACCTCCCATGATCAAAGGAGAAGACAAAGAGGAAGTATTCAAACCAGAAGCAGATTGGAGTGATGGAGAAATACTACTCGCAAACTACAACTCGAGGGCCCTAAACGCAATATTTAGTGGTGTTGATGATAATCAATTTAAACTTATAGCGTCATGTGAATCTGCAAAGAGAGCTTGGGAAATTCTTCAAGTCACATACGAAGGAACGTCAACTGTAAGGACATCCAAGTTACAGATGTTGGCCACCAAATTCGAAAATTTGAAGATGGAGGAGAATGAGACGATCACTGACTTCCATGCTAAATTATGTGATATCTCAAATGAATCATACGCACTCGGTGAACCATACTCAGAAAGCAAATTAGTGAGAAAAGCTATGCGCTCATTACCTGAAAGATTCGCTTACCGAATTGCTGCCATTGAAGAAGTCAGAGACGTTGACACGCTCAAACTAGACGAACTCATGGGGAAACTTCTAGCACAAGAACTCAATCATGGTGAAAATCATCGTGAAAAGTCTAGAGAAAAGAAGATAGCCTTTCAAGCAGAAACATCATATGCAACGCCCCAAAATTCGTCAACTCAAGAAGATGAGCAAACAGTTGAAGAATCCTTGGCACTACTATCGAAAAATTTTGGGAAATTTCTCAAAAAGATCGAAAAAAGGGGAAATCTTCCAAGCACAGGGAAACCCGTGAATTTTCAAAATTCTAGGAGAAATTCAAATCAAGATAACTCAGAGGAGTCAAAACCAAGAAGAATACAATGTCGAGAATGCGAAGGCTTTGGTCACATTCAATCAGAATGCGCAAACACCCTGAAGAAAAAGAAGAAAATGTCACTTACTACTGGTTGGAGCGATGAAGAAGAATCTGATGATGACCAAGGAAACAACAATCAAGTCACTAACTTTGTAGCATTCAGCAGCAAAGTTCCTCTGGACAGCTCAGAATCAACTGTTGCTTCAACTGTTGCAACAGACTGTGAAACAGAATCCAGGTATGAAAATATGTGTTCTGATTATGAAAAAAATCTAAACGAAAATTCTTCTTTTGCAGAGGATCCGAACAGCAGCAGTGATGAGGAAGAACCAACCTTGGATGAAGTAAAGGAGGTATATGAAAAAATGTACCAAAAATGGCTCGACGTCGTTAAGGTAAATAACTTCCTGGAAAAGGAGAAGTTTGTGCTTGTAGAGGAAAACAAGACACTAAAGGTAAGAATCTCTACTCTTGAGGAAAGGGTCATATCTAGTGATCAAGAGAAAAATAGTTTGCAGGCTAAACTTACTCAAACTCAAGAAGCAATTGCAAAATTGAACTTGGGTAGAGGTAATCTAGATGAAATCTTAAGCAACAACAAGCCAAACTATAATCGTCTAGCCATAGGAGGGAGTCAGCTACCCAAAGTTGATCTAAAGCGAAAGGAAGATCAAAACAGAAAAATCAACTTTGTTAAACAAGCTTCTGTCTCACAAACAGTTGCAACTGTTGAAGCAACGAAACACAATTCAAAGAAAAGGTTTATTCCCACTTGTTTTTTCTGTCAAAATCCAGGTCACATACGTCCTAGATGTTTCAAATATTTAAAACTTGTGAAAAAGCTTGTGGCTCGTTCTCTTTACTCTGCTAGGGCTGATTATTTTCCTTCACCCTCTCAAAAACCCAAAAATAAAATTGATATTTCCAATAGACCTCAGCAAAAAATTTGGGTTGAAAAGTCCACGTTTAAATGCTTATCTGCGATTACTTCTTTAAAAGCAAGTACTACTAATGATTGGTATTTTGACAGTGGGTGTTCACGACATATGACCGGTGTTAAAGAGTTTCTGAAAAACTATCAACAAATCACCGGTGGAGCTGTTACCTTTGGAAACGGAAAAAAGGGTGAAGTGCTAGGGAAAGGATCGCTAAATCATGAGAATCTGCCAAAGCTGAAGAATGTACTACTTGTAGAAGGACTCACGTCAAATCTGATAAGCATCAGCCAGCTATGTGATCAAGATCTTGAAGTCAGATTCAACAAATTCGCATGTCGAGTATTAGACAAAGACGAGAATTGTGTTATTCAAGGAACTCGATCATCTGACAACTGCTATGTTCTTGTCTCTGCTGGTATGAACTGTTTCAACAGTCTGTCAGACTCTACAGTGCTTTGGCACAAAAGAATATCTCATGAATTCTCCGCACCTAAAACACCTCAACCAAATGGAGTGGTTGAACGCAAAAATCGCACTCTGCAAGAGATGGCCAGGGTCATGATGAACGCAAAGGAGATCGCTCCTCGTTTTTGGGCAGAAGCAGTTAACACTGCATGTCATATTATAAATCGAGTCTATCTTCGACCAGGTACCACTAAAACTCCGTACGAAATTTGGAAAGGACCACTGGAAGAGGAACCAACAAAGGAATCGGAAAACAGCTCCAGTGTCGCACCAACAGTTCCAACAGTTGATGCAGCCTCTACCAATTCAGAAGAAAGTGACGTCAATTCTGAAACAGGAGACGAAGCTGAAGTCAGGCCTCTCGAATTGGATGATCAAACTCACAAGGAACCCTCAAGAAGAGTAAAAAAGAATCATCCAGTGGATCAAGTCATTGGCCCGGTAGAAGAAGGAATTCAAACCCGAGGCTTTAGCGATGCTGATTGGGCAGGTGATGCAGTCGATCGAAAAAGCACAACTGGAGGATGTTTCTATCTTGGGAACAATCTCGTGTCCTGGTACAGCAAAAAACAGAATAGTATCTCGCTTTCCACTGCTGAATCGGAATATATCGCCGCTGGTAGTTGTTGTGCCCAACTCTTATGGATGAAACAAATGGTATGTGATTATGGTATTAGTCAAGATTTATTGCATATTTATTGTGACAATATGAGTGCGATTAATATTTGCAAGAATCCAGTACAGCACTCTCGAACTAAGCATATTGAAATTCGCTACCATTTCATTAGAAATCTTGTAGAGGAAGGAACTGTCTCATTAGAGTATGTCACAACGGAGAAACAACTTGCTGACATCTTTACTAAACCCCTAGATGCACAAAGGTTGAT